GAAACTTTACCAAGTCCCTAATTGAACAAATTATCACCGGAGGTAGCCAAAATAAAACAACTTCAAGCGCAATACATATAAAATCTCTTCACTAAATCTAATAAAACATTTAGGCAAACATTCAAATATCTAGTAAGGATTTTAAATAGTACCATCAATCAAATCGGTTTAGCAGATTCAACCTCGAGGTATTTTATCAAGTCTGCTCGTTCATCGGCTTTTTTCAGACCAGCGAAGACCATTTTCGTGCCAGGAATATACTTCTTGGGATTTAAGAGATACTCGAAAAGGGTCTCACGTGTCCAAACGACTCCCTAAATGACGAATGATATAGAACAAACAATGATGGATGAGCAACTCCAGCTCACCTTATTCTTATTGGCAGCGGAATAATCGAAGCCATCAACAGTTCCGGATTTGCGTCCAATTATCCCGTGAAGGGTAGGTCCTGTCTTCGTCGCCTTAGAGTCTACTACATGGCATTGTAGACACCTTTGCTTGAAGACTTTCTTTCCCTTTTCGTAGTCACCCTCAGGAATGGCAGCCATTGCTTGAAACAAGGATTAAAGTAAGTGAAAGTAAAACAAAAACGAACTATTGTCGTTAAAAGTAATGAGAGAAGTAGTATGAAATAAGAGAAATCCAATTGTCTGGTCAAGAGACTGGGGCCCCGCACCGCCCGCATTACGTAATGATGAAAGTTGCAAAGGGCAGATTTGGGGACGGCGAGACGAGTGGGCGTGGCCACGGGCGGCACGAAAAAAATAAGGGACGCAGAGGAGTAACGCGGGCGTAAAATAACAAGACTTTTCTACAGTCAAGGATGATGGGATGATCCTCTCATTAAAACAAACTTTTAAACATCAACAATTTATCTTTAAAAATAACAACAACAAAACCACATTACGCGAAATGAGTGATAGGACGTTTTGTGGTGAACTGGGAAACATTTCTTCTCTTGCTGACGCGGTGAGGAAGAGGGAACTTGATCTTCGAGTCGTGGAACATCTTGATTCCGGCCCTCTTGGTGTCGGCCGCCTTGACGGCTTGCACCTTCAGGATGTGGATGCGGTCAGCTTGGGCACGGTGACGAGCTCCCATATCACGGTAGGCCTGGGTAACGGCTCCAGCAACGGTAACGTCACGGTATTCCCTGTACATGTTGTGATGTCCAGTACGAGAATCATACTTCAACCATACACCATAGTTCTTCACGGAACCGGCACTTTTATCGGGGAAAATCTGAAATCATAAAACTGTTTCGAAACACCAGGAATTCATCTTTCTTCTTCTCCCACCTGTTTGCACGACAGAATCTCTCCGTTAGCCTTCTTTACACGACGAAGCATAGATACGAAATACCAGAAACGCGACTTGGCGATAACATGGTTAGAAGCAAAAATTTGCATCTTCCATATTGGTGTCACCGGCTCTTTTTCGGTCGGGAGTTTGCGACCGACGACCATGTACTCCTTCAGAGTCTCTCCCAAAGCCTTGGTTGGCATGCTTAACCCTAAACAGAGTATGCTAAATCCAAGTATGCGTACTAGAGAACAACAAATACGACGGCTATCGATTACACAATGGAAAAAATTGAAGTTGTTATTTTTAGGATGAAAACAAGGATATACAATGCATCAAAAACTCATTAAACAAGAAACTTGAACATTTTAACTACTTTTGCAAGCCCACTTTCAACACGCATCAAAAATTGCTAGTGTATGAGAAGTGAATGGATTTTAGGCGTTGATTCGTAATGCGTGGAATACTACCGTAGCACGCAGCAGAAAATGCGTCAACAACTGACGCGGGCTAAACCACGCTTATTTGCTCCACCCTCGTGTACAGTGATGGCTGCGATAAAAATGACTTTGGCAGAAAGCTTGTTCCAGGAGTTAAACAACAGAGTTACGTTGCTGTTCGCTAGATCGAATCGGTATAAATGTTGAAGCAACCTTTATGATATCAAGGAGATTATCGCGAGAATTGCCTCGGCTTTGAACACCTGACCGCCAAGTTACTCTTTTGACGTCTTTTGGATCTGTGGACCATCGCACGATACTTTCAGTAAGTAAGCGCTGGTCAAGATTTACAAGTATTATATCAATAATTTTTAGCTCACACTCCAGTTTCGTCAGTTGTGCACGGGGAAGTGTCTATTAGTGCAGAGGAACAAAGTTCAGGTATGTAAGTAGTTATTATAACTGTTAATCTTGTTATTGAAACCTACCTTTAATACGATAGACTGCTTTGCGCTCATTTCTGTTTTCGCTTATTTAAAGGAAGTGTCCGGACTAGATTGGGGGTTTTGGGATTTCACCGTTGCGCAAAAGTAGCCG